GGGGGGGGGGGGAGGAGGGGAGAGATCAGTGAGATATTTCTCCTCGAATCTATTATTTACACGGCGACCTATTTTCAAATTCAAATTTCTTTACTTTGTATACGGAAAAATAAAACATTTTGATCTACACCAAATACAGTTAATAATTTGAATAATTTAATTTGGAATATTCACTTGGTCGTTTTTTTCACAGTTATAGGAGGACTATAATTGGGACGATTTAGCCATATTTTTGCACTTTGGTCACGACGGCGAAGATTTATCAAAAAAACTTGAACGTATACACTTTCTCGTTTAAAACTAAATCTATATCCAAACATCTGAAATATGAAGGAGACTAGATCATAGTATCTATAAATAGTAAACTAATTAATAATAATCATGTATCTAGGTATAACTGGAATTGTACAATTCTTAAAAAAAAATGTATACATTTAAAAATCCATTCTTTATTAGCCTGAACAATACGACACTGTTTTCAAATTTAATATCTTCCTCCTTAGAATAGTCCTAAATACGCTACTGCTGTCAGCTATAGCTTAGTTAACGGTTTAACGTTCCGCGGAGACTTAAGCGTTAACAAAAAAAAAAAATAAAATAAAAAAGTTATTTGAAACAAAAGTACGCAAACGATAAACAGTGCAGCCATTGTCACGGGCTAACAATGCGATCGGCCGTTTTAAATTAACCGACTGTGAAAAAAATACGAGAGAGAGAGAGAGAGAGAGAGAGAGAGAGAGAACGAGTCTATGTTATTGTTGTCAAATAAGTTAACGCGAACACAAAGCTTTACCGATAATAGTTAGAAATCGGGACATTGTGAAATTGCTAAATGTGTTCGTTAGGCTGTAGCGGAGACTTAATACTACAGAGACATTGTGACCCCGCGTTGGACCGTTTGTCGCGTGGTTATTGAAAGTTTAAACCGTAAATGATCGCGCGGGTTACTTATTGTTTCCCAATACTATTTCGATATCATTGAAATCCTTTGATTTTTTTTTTTTTAAAAATAATGTATACGTTGAATCATTGAAGTAATTCTAAACTACACATAAACCGCTAGAAAAATTAATTATAATATTATACGTGTATTGAAAACAAAATTAACATTTCCGAAAAATTGAAAAAAATTTTCTGAAAAATTAAATTTTTTGAAACTTGATTATGCTACTCTTTATCAGTTAGTGAAACGTTAAAGACATACAAAAAAAATGTCTCATATCTAATTGACTATGGTAAAAAGAAATATATGTATATACATATAACTTTAATTCTCGATATGAAAAAAATGGCCCAATAAAAATGTTTTTATTAGACAATACAATAATCGGTAAAGTGGATATTTATTTCACCGAACAAAACGAATAGAACTTTGTGAAAAGAAAAAATTCTCGTCTCAAAATAAGACCTGGTATGTTTAGCCTTTAATTATGAATCTTATAAATCAAACAGGTATCTACTATCATGTTAATGACCTTGTCACAAAAAGATGCACGATTTGACATACGGGTTGCACATGCAAATTTAGCACGAGTTTAGATTACTACAAAAAGACCTAACCCAAAAATAAAAATATATCTCTTATACATATATTTATTATACACCAGTATATACCGGGTGATCCTTTTACCGTTACACACTCATTATCTCGAAAAATAATAGCTTTTTTCGGAATCTGTTTTATAGAAAATTTAAGCAACAAGCAGCTGTACAATTTTACATTTACGTTATTTTTTATCACTCTTATTTTTGGAGGTAAAACCACTACTCACTTTTGATTTCCAAATGCAAATCTATACTGATAATTCCATACATGGACGGAGTATTAGTTGTAATAAATATTGGTGTCGATACTTTTGTTATCCGTCAATGCGTTGATCCACTTTTGAGATTGGGTCGGTTGAGTGCAGTGGAGCATCATTTGTGTGGCAGCACGGCGCGCGGCGTTTTAATAATAGGGAAGCTGTAAAATCTCGGAATGTATTTGTTCGGATTGTATAATTCCGGAATAAAAGTGTATTTTTACGGAATGTAGAATTGCGAAAAAGGAAATTCGTGAACCGTATGGTCACGGACCGTAAAAACCTGGAATCGAAAAATATGCAAAACGTATTTATACGGATTGTTGGTTCCCGGATTGTAAACAATCGGACTGTGTTTTACCGGAAACCTTATAAACCCGGATTGTATGTTTTCGGGGAAAAAAAAAGTATAGCCATGGACCGTATAATTTCGGAAAACGGGTTTTTTCGATCCGTAATTAAGAACTGGAAAAAATATAGGTAGTTACGCGTACCGTTGCTAGTCCCGATCGCTTATTACCAAGCCCTTTACATACTGTATCATTCTATATTATAAAATCTTTTTTATATTAAATCTTTTATAAAATTTTATATTTTTGCAGTTGAAAAAAAATAATTTTGATTTTCAAACGATCTCGTAATTGTCTTTAATACCGAATATTAAGGCTTGTTGGAGCTAGTTTTTTAAATATTTTCAATTTTATCACCAATCCACTAGCTGATGTCCGTTTATGGGATCAGTAACTAGGATTTTTATTGGATAAGTGATATGGATAACAAGAATAGCAAGAAAACGCACATATAATATATTTTAAAACAACTTCAATAATTGATAATTTAGAACGAAATTTTAAGTTTTTTGGTGTTTATCCTAATCCATCGATTATTTTGTCAACGTCCAATAGGATATATTAATTTATTGACATGCTGACTAATAAGCTTTTAAGGCTCACTAATAATAGATTAAGCAAGTTAACATGATTTGAAGCTTATCTGTTATCACTTAATTAAAAATGTGATCATTAAACGTATAATTTGGTAATAACTCTCATAACTAAATTACAATTGATAATAACGAATTAATTAACATACTAATGATAACTTAATACTAATTACGTAGTGTAATTAAAAATACGGACATACTTCGCACGGTATAATAATTACATATGCATTACACATTTTCTTTAACAATATTTGTTTAATATTGTAACTATTCTCCTGTTTTCCAGTTTTTCTCCGTTTGCTTTTGGTTTTTCTAATATATTCATAAATCGGAGCGAAATTGCTGGTAGAAAAGTCGTTCACATGAAAAAAAAAGGCCGTTATAATTTTTAACTAATACCTACATTTCGTACATTTTCCGTTTTTCCGATATTTTATATCAAAATCAAGATTGAAAAACGACTACTCTAAATTACTATGGAGATAAAATTACCTTTCAGAAAAAGTGCTACACTTGATACATCGGAGCAAGATTTCTGGTATAAAAGTTTACAAAACAAATCAAGGGATATTTTTCGATTAAAATAGTCCGAGCGAGCGATACCCTAGGTACATCTAAAATGCATGTTTTTTCAAAGTTAAGGTAAAAGGGAAAAATAACATTTTTTTTTTTTCAAAAACTCGGGTTTAAACCCGTGATCTTTAGGATAACAATATATCACCATAGCACTACGATCGATATACATTAAAGATGATAATATCGAGTTATTTAACATAACATATATAATACCTGTATAATATCAGAACTTCAAAAAGCTATAATTTTTAAAACTTAGTCAATCCGCTCAATTCTGATTTCACCAATGTTCTTAAATCAGCAATATACATAATATGTTCTAAGTAAAATATTTAAAATTAAATTAGATTTGTTCCATGTAATTTTTTTATTCAAAACGGTTTTCGTCAAAATTTGATAATAGAATTCCTTTATATATTTTTAACTGAATACAAAAAAAAAAACAAAACTATGAAAACATTATGAGAATTTTATTGCCATATCCAATAGATCCCATAATGCTACACAATAAAACTCTCTTGTCGTTTTTTTTTTTTTTAATTTGGAGCAAAATTTCCCGTAGAAAAGCGATTTACAGACGAAAAAAATGTTCTAAAATCGCACGCATCCCAATAAACCCAATATATACACGTATAATACATACTCGTAGCGTTCGGAATTTAAAACAGAAAACCGCGTAAAAATTTGGATTTCGCTGTTGCGAGCACGCGGCGCGTCGCGCGGTTTAAATCGTCTTTTTTCGGTATTCGAGAAAAAAAAATTAATAATAAACGATTTTCGTTGGTGGTTGGTGAGGGGGGAGAGGAAACTCACTTGTAACTGTTGCCGCCGCCGCAGTCGTTGTTCCTATCGATAACCTGTAAATTAATTTATTGATTTTTTTTTGTTTTCTCCCGCCGTCATATTAAAATATGATCGTACAATACGCATTGTACATTGTACAATATCATAAGCGGACCGCAAGATTGTAATAAACGACATCGGTTACGTACGAAAATAATAATATTACAATATCAACACACTCAACGCGCGGCACCCTTTTGAGACGCATGTTAGGTATACATCGTATAATATAGTACGGTAACACTCGGCGAAGGATGTAAACATTTTCGGTACACTGTATAATATTGTAACAATATGTATCGTATATACTCGTATTTAATATAATATATTTTTTTTATTTTTTTTTTTTTCGTATTATACAACGCGATTCTCGTGTGCCCACGACATATTTTATTTTTTTTTTATTCGTATCTGCGCTACAATGTACAATTTTTTTTATTTCAAACAGTTTTTTTTTTCCACAGTGTTATAAGCGCTTACACACACACGCACACACACAAACATTATAATTTATGTGCGTATAGGCACATTTCACTCAATACCATATATTTAACATAATACGTACGGTGAACAACGACGCGTATTTGTCGGCGTCCGTTTTCGATATTATGTACTCGTATTTTATAATATTATTATTATAAATAAATTATCATTAAAATATTACACCAGTCGCGTATTCTTCACACATATTTTATTTGATATTATATGATCACTTTTTGTTGTCTGTATTTCCGTCTCTGTATACATTATACACGCGCACAAACGATAATATGATGATATTATCGTGTTATTATTATCTATGGAACAATATACGTATATTATATTTCGTATACCGATTCCTTCTTCATTGGCCTTTTTAACCACGACAGCTTAAACGTGCCTTCGCACTGTGCATCGTTTTGTACTCGTCCGAAACGAGCGCCGTGACGTCTGTCGAATGCGCGACCAAAGGCGCAGGAACTGTTTTTTATATTCGGGGGGAGGGGGGGGGTGCAAAAATTTAGACGGTGTAACTATCCGTAGTCACACCGTACGCATATGTATAGCAAAGGCTCCCCTTCCCTATCTGTGCTCTTTTTCCCGCCAGTTTTATTAAAAAGGCGTCCATCAAATTTTACTTTTTTTTCAGCTAGCAAAACAGTTTTTAACAATGTTTATCATGAAAATTACCCGTACACATGATACCTGTAGACAAAGTACAAAATATGCACTGAATGTGATATACGTTCTTTTAATAAATCACTGTTGATTTAATTATATTTTAAAAGGGCGCCTAGATATATTTTAGTCCACAGTACTAACTTAATTTTCTATATTAAAATACGCTCTTTAGCCAGTTTATGCTCCTAATTTTTCCGGCTTTTTTGGTACTTTAAACGTATTTTTAGATTTTTAGTAGTGTATGTCCTTTTAAAAAAAACACCATTGATATGATTTGTGGACAGCAATGATAAATTTTTTCTTTGTGAAAATTTGAACCGAATTTGCATTTCCGTTCTTTCGAGTCCGATTTAAAATACAAACATAACTTAAAAGTAAAAACAAAGTTTTATTTAATTTCTGTAGGTATTATACCAGTATTGCCGTAGACTATTACTTATCTATTTAATTACTCATAACAATTGGTATAGTTAATATTACGGTGTCACAGAATTATAATTATAATTTTAATTCTGTGACATCAATTTTCACTGGTTTTTCAAAACCATAATATCAGTAATGTTAAACAATAATGAAATAATATTATCAGGCGCGTTTTGGCGTTCTAAACAGTTTAGTGGTTATAAGTTTACGATTAGATATTATGGTTAGTAGACGGTTACTAAATCGCCAAAATTATTTTAATATTTTATTTTTCGATTTATGTATTACAAAACCAAAGTGAAAGTATTTTGCTGAATATATGGTATATAGTAGGCATTTATACTAATGATATATTAATTCATACATCAAAATTGTACTAAACGATTTTAACCAATGACTATTTTTTAAATTATCTGTATCAAGTGGAAATATTAGAGTCGGTACCCTACATTCCTGTTAACATAATGTAGTAAATCATAAATGATACGAGTATCTACCGAAGCGTATAGATGATAGTCATGTTTGATAAAATTATTGTCTGCCATTTTTTATTTGTACACAAGTTGAATATAATATAATATATTATGTCTAACATTTTAAATATGCGTTCGTCTTTCGGTATGTCAGTCTGTCTGACACAAATTTGCAGATTTATTCCGATCTTGATGAAACTTTGGACGCTTGACATTCAAAAACAAAAGGAATATGATCGCTGACTTTTACCTCGAAATTAAAATTCCCTACGGGCGGCTCATGTTTGATTTCTGATATTTTAATACGATAAAGTTGACATTTGTTGGTTGATTTGCGGATTATCTTGGTGACACAGACGAAATAAAAAAAAAAAAAAATAGTTATTTCATTTGATTGTCGCAGACACAGGAAATGCCCTTTATAAAACATACAATACCGGATAATAACGATGAACTGTGATAGGGGTGATACGGGTGAAAACGGTTGAAAACGGGAACAATTCGTTGAAAAAAACAGACTTTCGATGTTATAAATATATACACTACACTCTCGTATTATACAAGATGTATCATTTTTTTTTTTTTTACAGACGAGAAATACGCGCCGGGGAATTATTCAGCTGCGGGTATATTTTTATTATAATACACGCGATATGAAAATAAACCTACTCGTTTTTCGTAATCTAAATGAAAATGTGTGGAAACTGAGATCGGGACGGAAAAAACAAAGGGTCGCCGTCGTGGTCGATAGCCCACTGGCCAGAAGCCATAATACCGTATTATACGACGATGTGCCGAAGCCCTGTCCGTATAAATCGAGTTAAGCAGTAGGCGCACACTTTTTCCTTCACAATTTTTCACACGCAACGAGTATAATATTATATACATATTATTATATAGTGTAACATTCCTCACCAATAATAATATTATGTCTGAATACATAATAATAATATATCATTTACTATAATATACTTGTCGCGTGAGCGTTTATCGGCTTTTACTTGTACGGCATTCTGATAAAAAAAAAAAAAAAAAAAAAAAAATGAAATGTTTTTTTTTTTTTAATTTCCTATCCGTGTATAGTCAAGGTGTATACCGCAAGCGCCTCGGGACATATAACTTTTTCGGGACTTGCATCATGCGCGTTGGTGATTGTCGGTATTTAATAGAAAAATGTTGTGGTTAAAATTGAATCGATTTAAACGTGCACGTGACGCAAGCCTAATAGTCAGGTGTTCGTCCCAATTTAATTTACTGCGATTCGTGTTTTACCAGCTCCACTGTTTTATAGTGATTGTATATTATAAATATGAAATACACTACGTGTATTTAATCAATAGCTATTATACTAAACAATTACTGTACAAATTATTTCATATTTTCATAAACATGTGTTAAGATATTATTATTATTATTATTATTATTGTTTATTTTTACGAAAAGATAATGGGATGATAAAACACAAATGTGAGCAACTAGATTAAAGGTATAAAATATTTAGAGTTTTATATTAGGTTCATTTTGCAGCCATATACATAAAAATTACAAATATATACCTATGCATATGGTGTAGATGCAAATTTACTTAAATTTAAAATTAAAACGAAATTTAAGTGGTAAAGTGTGGTCTGGTTCGTATTTTCCAAAAATTAATCTTAATTGGCCAGTCATAAATACAGTCGCACTTTCGGTGATAAACAGTATTATTTCTATTATCAATTATAGGGACAAAAAAAAGATTTTACCTCGAGGCGCTTGAATGTGTAGCTACGTTACTGTCCGTAGTGTTAACGCCGTCGGACAGTGGTCTGAATTTTAAATTAACTTACATTTAATTAATATTTCTTAGTTATGAAGTATAAACAAACTCCGAAGATATGAATTATATTGAAGCTACTTTATCAACATTTTTATCAGGTTTGAAATCATCATCTAATTAAGGAGACCAGATATCTTGCTCCGATTTTCAAGTTTAGCACTTTTTCTAGAGGGAAATTTTATCTGAGCGGTTTTTTAAGAAGGTAAATTTGTATTGTCTAATGGGTTTTTATAATAATTGGTAAAAACCAGAAAACGGAAAAATGTACGAAATGTATTATTTAAAATTTTTTTCTTTGTTTTGTTGTGATTAGTTAAAAATATTCTTGGAGACTTGAAATTTGGACAGAAAATTTATATTTGTCTTTTTTTAAACGTAGTAAAATTTTTAAAAAATGTATTGATATTTTAATTCTGTGAATTTTTTACGTAATTTTTATTTGGTTTAGGTACTCTTTGGATGAAATTGTTAGACCAAACAAAAATATTTGAAAATTTAACCGGAGATTCATTATTAGTCGTACTTTGTAGTCGGAAAAAAAAATGAGTGTAATGCAAAATTTTATTTTGATTAGAATTGTAATAATAAATTTTGACGAAAATCATAAATATTTATTACGGCTTTTCAAAACAGACTTACATACAGGCTTTTTATAACAGAACTTCGTTCAGAATCGTTTTTTGTAAAACAACTATTAATCATTGCGTACAGATATATATTAAGTTCTCTTCTATATTCTACCTTTCCAACTTTTCAGTGGCCCAACCATCGTGCGAAGTATGTTCGTCTTTTTAAAATTAAATTTTACACGTAATCATAAATAGATTAATATTTATTAATATTAAAATATTAATATATTTACATTAACATTAAACGTAAAACTATTAAATTTTATACTATCGAAATAAAATGAAAATAAAAAACCTTAATCATCATTGTATTATTTTTATCACTACTATCTTCATTTGTCTCGTCCATTATTGTATTTAACAATGATATTGCTTCATTTAACAAATCGTGTGATTTTTTTTTTATGCATTCAATTTATTTTACTCTTATTACTCTTCATGTAGTTTTTCGAAGGAAAATTCTCTGAAAAACTGTACGGAATGAACATTTGTAGATTTATAAAGATATATTTCATTGTCATAAATAAAATTAATCGTTGTAAGTTTCATAGTAATTATTAAATAAGTTTAGTTATTATTATGAAACTACCACTACAAGTCTACAAATAAAATTAATAGAAGTCACATATAATTATTGAAGACACTTTTTTTGTTATATTAAGACATTTATACATGTAGTATGTAAGTGTGCGCAAATAAGGCATAGTATACGCGTTGTAAGTACAATATCATACCGCAGAATAATTTTAAAATTGTAATAATATATAATGTTTTAGTAATATCATTTTAGGTTCTGAAAATAACAAATAAAAAAAAAAAACTCGTTCTGAGAACGAGTGCAGCCACTGTTGTAGGTTGGACGTTGGGAAGATAGAATATTCCACTGGAGGATGGGAAGTAAACTTGGGGAGGCGCAAGCAGTAATCACGAAGTAAAATTTGTATTTTAAAATGCAGGGAAAAGATAAAAAAATTAATAACGACTGGTGATTGGGTATCGATAAAGATTATGAGCAAGGCCGTAATTATGTAAAGGCGATAGGAGGTAGTTGCCCGGCTGGTTTTAATATTTAATAAGATTTGTTCGCTTATCGAGCTTGATGACAAATAAGGGGTGCGGAATAAAAGAAGTTGGGAACTACTGTATCAAAAGGATTAAAATGCATAAAATCTGTGTCTTGTCATTTTTCGATTGGAGCCATAGTATAAAAAATTAGGATTAATGCAAAAATCAAAAGCAATGAAATCGGTAACGCCGCGGCGCGTCGTAAACATTTGCCGTTTTACCTACAGTAATTTTATTTTTGGTTTGTCCCAATTATTTTGAAAATCCCATTGAAAAATCGAAAAATACATCATAGCAAAACCTGCAACAGAACCCTCGCTACGCTCCGAATATAAAACAATAATATTAAGAGAATGTAAACTGCATATATAATGAACGTTATACGAACGACACGAAAATCGCATTATTTATGTAGGCATGCAATATACCATACACTATGCAATCTTCACCAGTGTCTATAACTCAAGTTATGAAAACAAAAAAAAAAAAAACCAATAATATTTGGACATGTACGAAGAACTGACCGCGAAAAACAGAATAATACGTGCTACATACTTATTCGTGCATACATATTTATATCGTTATTTATCGACATCTCGTTGAATTTATCGTAGTTATGTTGGATTGATAAGATATGAAAGTAATAGTTCCCGTAATACCGAATAGTGGTGATTGATTTAACGATCGATCATACATATTTGAAAGCACAAAAAAAAAAAAAAAAAAACAACACTTATCGCATTTTTTTAAAATACGGTTTTGGCGATTGAATTTACGATTCGGTCCGTTGTGCGCCGCCGGGGTAAACGCGGAACGGTATATTACAAAACCCACAGCGAAAGGCGGCAGCGGCGGAGATAAAAATAATAATAATAATGTCATACGTAACAGGAAAGAACCCGTCTGGTTGTTGTAGTTGTTGTGTTTTTAAAAAAAAAAAAAAAAAAAAAAAAACATATTTAAGTATTTAAGTCGGGGATAAGTCAAAATATGCAATCACGTCACCGCGTCGTATAATGGCTGCGCANGATCGATCATACATATTTGAAAGCACAAAAAAAAAAAAAAAAAAAAAAACATATTTAAGTATTTAAGTCGGGGATAAGTCAAAATATGCAATCACGTCACCGCGTCGTATAATGGCTGCGCAAAGCTTAATATTATGTTGCTATAACGATACAATATACGGGGCGTATCTGCGTGGGACTGAACGATTACCAGTGCAATCACGTGCCTAGCTATATAATATACGTAATAGTATTACGTATAGAAAATTGTCGAATATCGTGGATACACTCTGTATATAGAAGTGCACGGCGTAAAACGATTGCACCCGGGATACGATGCATTCAACTAAATGATAACAGAGTCATAATAATAATACGTATGGGTACATATAATTGCGAATATAATAATATATACTATACACAAATAAACGAACGGATAAACATTGTGCGATCGCGTTGTAATAAAACACTCGGGCGTTTCAATACACTTGATGCGTAATAGTTTTTTTTTTTTTTTTAAATGATGGGCGATAGTCATTATACGTTAATTTTTTTTCTACGGACGATTTAAAAATCTATATAAAAATCGTATCATGGCCTATAGTATACAAGTATAAATATACACACCTGAAATATGCAAATGTTGACGTGCATGATAACACTGTTATCGAGTTGATACCAGTGGCGTATCGATAGGGTGGCAAGACGGGAAATGAGCCACGGGTCTATGCCGTCTCGGGGTCCCGTATCAAAGCCCGATGCGTTATAGGTGAATACAATAAAAAAAAAAAAAAATGCGATGTGCTTTTTTCGCTTATTAAGTAACACGAGTGGACGGAAGGCCGTTCGGAAATAGGCAATGATCTTTTCATTCAATCAATCGAGTCCCAACTCTAATTGATTGTGCACTTGACTCTCGAATTGGTTAATCTAGAATATTTTTCCACTTGTACATTAGAAGTTATAGTTACGCCACTGGTTGATACCGTTTATGATGAGTATAATAAAACACTTAGGTGGGAATGGTTATCATCTAAAACCGGATTGGAAATTGACACCCCCTTCCCTACGCCACCAGTCTAAATTGTTCACTGTATTATAAATTATAGGGGTGCAGGCAATATTTCTAAATGAGAGGGGGTAGGGATGAGGCAAAGAAAAAACTAACTTAAAATTACAACGTTTGTCTGTTAAACGTTAATTTTCGAATATGCGAAATTCCAACTTACCGTTTCAGTCCAACTAACAGGATACACAATCAAATTACATTATTGGGTAAACATAAATTGTGAAGTTTAGGTTGAAATTGGAGTTTAAATACAAATAACAAAATTTAAAGAGGAGAATATTTTCGATAGCTGCACGTAGATTTTTTCTACAAAAATGTCAACAAAAAAGTTCGGTTAAATCACCGGGTTCTCATTCCTCACCGGCCACCACCTATTTCTTATTTCTTCGATAGTCAAAAACTCCATAACAACTTCTATACTACAGCTTATCAGATCGGGATTTTTCTATTGTAGTATCGTTCACGGATATCAAGTATAATTAGTATTGATTATAGTATTTAGTATAAAGAAATTAAAAACTACTACTAATTATTTTCAAAAATCGTGTAATACAGCCGTCGGACAAATCTCAATAGGCCGGGCCGCGTATACGAGTATAAAATATCAAGGGGGAAAAAAACATGTAATGAAAACGATACCTATCCGTGTTTACATTGGAAACGATAGTTTAATTTCGTTGTTATGTTGTCATTTTTTTTTATATGGAAAAAAAT